ATAACAGTAACCAGCTTTGATTACGCTACTATTTTTTTTCTGTACCTGTTCAGACCCGTAGCAGTACTTAATTCCCTGACCTTTCCTTATTGTTCCTGGTTATTTACAGATCTAATACTATTTTCTTCAAATTCCTGAAACTGTTCTAAATACAGCCGTATGAGCTAACCTGGTTTAATGTTCTGGGTCAAAATCTGGACGTAGTTGTCCCTGTCAGAGCGGACTTGCTCATGATGGAAGCCCAGAGCGTGGTTAATCTCATGTTCCACTGTTGATTGGAAAATGCAGCCATTTTTCCTAAGGGACACCGGCTGACGTCCACCCTGACGGCCGAGGTAGGACCAACACCTGACAGGGAGATTGGGTGAAATTAGGATATGTGGCTGTGACCGCAGTCCGTGTGTTCATATGAAGTTGTGTTCCTACCCAGATCCAGAGTAGAAGTAAAGGTAGCTTGATTGTGTCCTCCTCCAAACAAAGCGAATGCAGGTGGAACGTTCGAAGCTCAACAGGGCTCTAAGGATGATGCTAAGTTCTGCCCCAGCTGCAAGGGGAAAACCAATTAATGAAAAGCATACTAGGTTTTTAGCCAACACTCACATCTAAAACATTTTCTATGAACTGAAGGTCTTAACTGCATGTTCAGAATTTAAGCTCTAACTCAGACACTGTCGATAGTTCCCTTCTGTTTTAGCATACATATTCCAGTGACTAATTGACTGGAGGACCTACAGAGTCACTGATAAAGAACAGCAACCATTTCAATCTGAAAAACTCACAGAGAGAGAAAGATGCAATTAGAAGAGTTTATTGATACAATAGTTTAAACTTTGGCGCTCAGGCCTCGGCAGGAAAGAAACGCTGATTTATACTTTAATGTAGATAAACTGATGTATGAGAATAAGGATATTCCCCCCGGGCCTGAAACTGGTGGTGGAGTTTAGATAGATGAAGCTTGGTTAATCCATGGAGGCTGGAATACAGGGTGATGCTTGAGTTAGATGTCACTGAATGAACGAAGTTTGCATAAACTGTCCATGAACTGTCCATGAATAGCAAGCATGAAGCGACTGTGGA